TATTTGAATGTGCGTGTGCCCGTAGGGGCCCGTTGGCTCTGTGGGTCAGTGCCTGGACCCTGGGGTTGGGCTGCTGGTCGGGTGCACCCCGACCTCTGGGCCGCAGGGCCGAGGGCAGCTGAGCCACCTGCAGAGTGAGGCCGTGTGGACCAGGTAGCTGGTGGCTGCTGTGCCATGCCATGGCCCACAGCAGGGCAGCCAGGGCTCCTCTGAGTAACGTTTTTCTTGAGAAAAACTGCCGTGGCTTAGCCATAATTAGAGACACAGGAGGCCAAGAGGCCGGCCCCACCCACCCTGGCTCACTCCTGGCCGGGGAAGACGTGGCCCCACTGCCGTCTGGGCCGGGGGCTGGGCCGCTGCTGGGCTCTCTAGGGACAGGGACAGCTGGAGCAGGCGCCTGGCTGCCTCTGCCCCAGCTAGGTTCTCTGGGCTGGAGGGGCGTCTGTGTGCAGGGCTGTGTGGGCAGGGCTGAGCCGTGGCCCTAGGTCTCTGGGAGGGCATCCGAGCCATGAGCCATGTCTGCCAGGAGGGCCAGGAGGAGGGTGCATATGCCTAGGGCGGTCCGCGCTGCGGTGCCCCCAGGCCTGGCCCAGTCCAGCAGTGGGGCTTGCTTGGCTTCTGGTGTGACCCACGTGAGCATCGGGTCCTGCTGGTCTTTGGCCGGTGACAACAGAACCCTCGTCTCTGAACGAGAACAGCCCTTGCCCGGCCCTCCCTCCACCCCGGCCTCACTGCAGTCTAAGGATGCAGAATTCACTGCAGTGGGCCCTTGTGGGGCCGACAGAGGCCATAATGGCTACGTTGCTGGACTCCCGTGTAGTTCACCACGGTTCGAGTCCCAGACACAGCGGCTTAAACTCAACGCCGAGCGCATGTGAGTACATGTCCAAAAGCCCAACAGGAGAATGGAGAAGGGACTGCGGTGTGGCCATCCCCTCTGGGGGGTGATTTCTCGCTTTCTGTCTCTCTGTCTCTCTATATCTGGCAAGCGCACACGCCCTATAGCAAAAATCTCTCTGAAAAAAACAGGAAGAAAGAAACAGGCCTTGTCGTGGGCAATTAGGTGATCACTTCCAAACTTTAACCAGACACCACCACCGCGGGTGTCCTGGCTATTCCTCTTCCCTCGGCCGGAGTCCCTGGAAGAGGGGTTGCTGAGCTGGGGTGTCCTCGGGGGCGTGGGGCGCAGCCTCCTAATTGCCATAGAGCCGTCCAGAGGCTCGACTGCAGGGGCTGTCCGGGGGGAGCGCCTTCAGGGGCAATCGGCTGCTGGGGTGCCGGCCCTGTGTGATGGGGCAGGAGAAGCTTCCCCGTGGGAGCCCTCTGGATGCCACACTGCTGTGCCCTGCGTGCTGGAGGCCGACGGGCCCACGGGCCCCACATGGAGACCGCTCTGGTACCGCGTGACGCTGCGTCACAGCCAGGGTCTGCATCACGGGACGCCCCTTCGCGCCGGGCAGTGCTTGTGGCCGCAGGCCCTTCCTCCTCCCCATCAGGAAGGTGACCTGGGGCCTTCGAGAAGCTCACAGGAAGTGCTCTGGTGGAGGAGCTGAGGTTCCCAAAGGTCACACCCAGGTCTGCTCTCACTTCTGTCCCCGCGACTCGGGGTCCCGGCGTCCCGCACCTCCTCAGGTCTGTGGCTCAGATAGGCCTGGCCTGCTGGGACCGCCAGGTGGCACTGTCCTTTGACGCTGGCGGCCCGTGCTGCCCCACCGCGGTCACATGCGTGGAGTGGCCATGCTGCCACTGTAGGACGGCCCGGCCATCGCTTCCCGCGTGGTATGAGGCTGGTCTGGGACATAGGCAGGGTGGCCCACCCCACAGACCCCACCGCCCCCCT